CTCTAAATAACAATTAATTATCTTATCATTAAGCCATGCATTACGACAAAGGGTTCTTAAATCTGAATGTGATAAAATTCTATTACAAACCGATATTCTGGTTATTTTATTAAGTTCGTTATAAATCTCTATTGGATGTTTATATTTTTTCCTCGAGATAAATGATACGTCATCTATTGTATCAGAAGATATATCACTATCACTTAAGTCAATCACATCATCTCTAACAAAATTAGTTTTTTCTTTCATTCTCTCTTAAATATTATTTTTATAAAGTCAATCATTTTCTTTTAAAATAAACAAATTTATTTAATTTTCAATAAACTTTCTTCTAAATGATTACTAATACACTTAGAATCAACATTTGGTTTTAGTTTTAAATGAGTAATTAAATTACAAATAACTTTGATTAATTCATCACTAAAAGATCCTTTTTTAATTATAAAATCTGCACCTTTCTTACCCAAAGAAACCCATTTTTCTGAACTGGGAAATACATACTTTTCTAAATTTTCTTTAATAGAAGCCAATGCTTGATCATCTGTTAAGCCTTTATACTGAGGTTTGGATTTTCTTGACTTGTCTTTTAAATATCTAGAAATTCTACTCCGTTCAATAATCTCTCTTTCTACATTAAGGTAAATTCTTGTTACATCAAAATAAGCATTAAAATCTACATCATTACTAATAAACATTTTTTCATCAGAATGTTCACTTGCCAATTCAAAACAATTAAAATTATTTACATCAAAAATTTGATCAGAAAAAATATTAAAAGAAAATATTCCTTCAAATAAAATCACACTTGGCTTACTATTAACTTCTTCTGTGTATGAAACAGCCTCAGTTTCAAAACTGTAATTTCTTTTTTCAATTGTCTCACTATTATTACCGTAGTCAATAAAAGTTTTTTTCACTGCATCCCAGTCAATTGCTGCTGGATTATCAAAATCATACTTTCCATTTGACGTAAGTGAAGAATCAGTACTCAAGTAATAGTTATCAGTTGATAATGACACTGCATTAATGTCTAAATGATTCAATAATGACAATAATAAACTGGTTATTGTAGACTTACCAGACCCAGATGCTCCTTGAATTAAAATTACTTTAGTCTTGTTAATACTAGTTGTTGTTGATATTCTATTAGTCATAATTATAGGGTAAATATTACAAAATTTTTTATATAATTTCTAAAAAAATTCACGAGATTAAAATTTCTTCATTTGAAATATTACAATCATAAATTAAGCAATAATCATATTTTAATAATAAAATATTTTATATGAAAATATATGAAATCATTTTCATTTAATTTTCTATAAAAAAACTTATTAAATAACAATTATCTTTTTTATATAAAAAACATGAAGTTTGACAAATAATGAATAAAATATTTTATTCCTTTTTTAAAAGTCTATTAAAATTTAATCAGAAAATGATTAATTTTTAAGTTTTTAAAATATTTTTAGTAACTCAATAAATAATTTTAATTAACCTCTTTTATCATTTAAAAACTAAGCTTTAAATTTAAATACTAAATTTTTAATATTTTTAACCATTATAGTTAAAGAAATATATTTTTATTGTTAGAAATAAAGCTTTAACAAATCTTAATTTATTTTCTTTAAAAAATTTTAATTAAATCTTTTTTCTATTAAATAATTTTAAAGTTAAAATTTTATTATTAATTTATTTTAAAAACCCATAAATGCAAACAGTCACAGAAGAAGTAGATAAAGGTGGAAGTTTATATAAAATAGATTTATTAAACTTTAAGAGTTATGGTGATAAGTACAGCATAGGACCATTTGATAATTTTACTTGTATTATTGGACCAAATGGATCTGGTAAGAGTAATATTCTTGATGCTATTACATTTGCATTAGGAATTGAGAGTTCAAGCATTAGAGTTTCATCTGCAAGACATGTAATTAGTAATGGAAAGAATAAGACAGAGGTTAAATTAGTTTTTAAGAAAAATAATGGAGAATTTTTAGAAATGTGTAGAGCTTTGGATATTTCTGGAAGATCTGTATATTCAATTGATTCTCAAATAGTTTCTCTTAAAAGGTATAATAAGATCATAGAAAGTTTTAATATTTTTCCCAAGATAAAGAACTTTGTTATTTATCAAGGAATGATACTTAATCCTGAGGTAAATTTAGTTGGAATAATTGAAACTATATCTGGTTCTATCAATTACAAAGAAATGTATGAAAATTTACAACAGAATTTACAAGTGTGTAATAAAGAATTATCACAAAAGTTAGATTTTAAGAAGGACATCATGAATGATATAAAAGAAATGGAGAATATTAAGGAAAGAGAATCAAAGTTTGTTGAATTGATGAAAGAAAAAGAATTATTAAATAAAAGCTTATATTGTATTGAAATAAATCAAATAATGGAAAAGAATAAAGTTATAGACTTTGAATTAGGTACATTAAGAAGTAAGTTGGATCAAATTACAAAGAATGAGAATTTTATTAATCAAAGAATTGAAATAAAAACTTTAAAGAAGGAGATTTCGTTAAAACAAAAGGAATTGTATGAATCTAATGCAGAAATAGATTATCAAAAAAAGTGTAAATTAAATTTTAAGGAAAAGCTAACTGAAATTAAAAAGAATGAAGAAGAATTAAAAAGATTACAATTAGAACAGAAATCGTTACCCTCAAAGATTGTTTATCCAACAGAAATTGACTTCTTATCTAACAATGAAAACTTAAAGAATTCAAATATGTTAGAACGTTATTATTCAAAAGTAAAGGAGGGTGAAATAAAAGCACCAGAGGAACATTTTGAAAATCAATTGGCCATTCTTTTAAGTTATTACACTGAACAAGTTGCTAAAGATGAGAGACTTCTATGTAAACTTACGGTTGAAGATTTTGATGTGATAGCAAAAAGAAATTTAATGGAAATTGAATTTAAAAAATTGAATGCAATAAAAAATAACATTAAGAAGGAGTATCAAGGAAAAGTAGATCGTAATAAACAAAGAGAATTAAAAATTAAAGAATTAGAAGTTAAAATAAAACAAGTTAATATTCCTGAAAATGAAAGTATAATATTTCAAACAATAGAAACTGAATTAAATCAATTACAAGAAAGACTTACTAAATTAACAAGAGAGTTACTTTTTTGCCAAGGAAGAAAACAAACAAAGAAGAATAACATATTGATTGCTAATACAATACAAACACTTAAATCATTATTTCCAGGTGTGATTGGTAAAGTAAGTGATTTAATAGAACCAACTCAAAAGAAGTATGATTTAGCCATTAGTGCCTTAATTCATAAGTATGAATCAAGTGTTGTTGTTAATGATGTTGCTACCGCACTTAACTGTGTGCAGTATCTCAAAAATTCCAAGCTTTGTAAACTTTCCTTTTTAGTACTGGAAAAAATCAATAAGAAAAATTATTTTTCAGGAGTTGAGAATTTTGTTACCTTAAAAGAAGATTTAGGAGAAAATTTTATTAACTTTATATTTAGAAGATCTAATATTGTTGAAACAGTGGAAGAGGCTAAAAGAAGTATTTATCATTCTAATGAATATTCATCTATTGCAACATTAAATGGTATATTGTTTCAATCATCTGGCTTAGTAACTGGTGGTAATATAAATAAATTTGAAGAATCCCAAGTTGAACAATTAATTAAAGAAAGGAAAAGTATATTAACTAAAATTAAAGATATTAGAAATAGAAAAGAAGGTTATAAGAAAGTAGAAAATCAAGTCCTTGAATGTAGAGATATGAAATCAGAAATAGAAAAGATTAAAAGTGGGTTTGAAAATTTGGAAGAAGTTAAATTTGAAGATGAAAATAGACTTAATGAATTAAGAAATGAAATATCACAAATTAATGAAAAGTTGAAAGTCTTTGAAAGGGAAAAACAAAGAACAAAGGAGTCTATAAAAGCAAAAGAAATGGATATTTTAGGATCAATTTTAAATTCAGTTGGTTGTTATTCTTTAGAAGAGTATAGAAATAAGAAAGAAAGTATAATTAGGAGAGGAAATATTGAATTAGAAATAGAAACAGAGATATCAGCTTTAAAGGGTAATTTGAATGATAATAGAATAATTGATATTGATATTGTAGGATTAACTTCTGAATTAGATACTCTTAAATTAAGATTAAAAAAGATTAATATTACTTTTTCGTCAATGAATTTAAGAATGGAAGAGTTGAATTCTAAAATTTCTAATTATGAAATACTTAAAACTAAACTTGATGAAGATTTGAAAGAAAAGTTAAAATATTGTTTTGTAGAAACAAACCTTAAAGATGAAAAAGACATTGAAGAGTTCTATAAAACAATAAAGAATAAGAGTGTGGATATTTGTAAAAAGAAATTAATGGAAGTAACTAAAATGCTTATTTCAAATGCACCTTCTAACGTATCACATGATAATTCATTACAAGCTAAATATCTTAAATTTACTAGAGAATATGAACAGTGTAAAGAAAGTGCAGTATTAGCAAGAGAACATTTTAATGAGATAAAAAAACAAAGATTATCAACCTTTAAAGAAGTCTTTGAATTGTTACAAAAAGAGATCAGTAAGGTTTATAAGAAGTTAAGTTATAATGAATTTAATGAAGAAGAAAATACCAGTGAAGTAGCGTATGTAGTTGCAGAAGGTGATCCATTTACAATTAAAAACTCAGTTAAATTTTATGTAATGCCACCAGGAAAAGGTTTCATTGAATTTAAAGCCTTGTCGGGAGGAGAAAAGTCTATGGCTTTACTTTCATTTATATTCGCCCTTAATAACATAAAGAAACCAGCTTTCTACGTATTTGATGAAATAGATCAAGCATTGGATAGAGAAAATGTAGATAAACTTGCGTCTTATTTAATAGAAGAACAAAAAAGATGTCAATACATCATAATTTCTCTAAAGTCTCAATTATTTGAACATGCTAATTCTCTAATTGGTGTTTATAAAGATCCAAATGATAATCAAAGTAAAATTTTAACCTACCGACTTAAAACTCATTAAAATTAATTAAAAAATTTTTATTATTTTGCCCTAAAAATGAGTAGTGAGTGAATCGATAATTATAATGAAGATGAGGTACAACAAGAAACCGATGAAAAGATATTAATTATAGTGGAGGACGGATCTGGACAATCAAAAACAGTGAAATGTAAACCTTCTTTTAACTGTGGTAAGTTACTTAAAACTATCTGTTCAAGAAGTAATAGAGATGAAAAAGATTATAGATTACTTCATGGAAGAACAGAATTAACAGATAAGTGTAATTTGTCTGATTTTAATATCACAAATGGATCTAAATTATATCTTGTAACTAAACAAGTAGGTGGTTGTATTAAATTTTTATAAAAGTTATTTGTTAATTAGTTTTATTTAAATTAAATGATAATCTTTGTATTTTTTAATAATAAATATTTACTTATAAATATCAATAATTAAATTAAATTCATTAAAACATAAAGGAGGGATATCTAGATTTCTACATTCAGATAAGTAAATTCTATAAAGTTCATTTAAATTATTTTCATTCTCTTTATTTTCAAGAATAATCTTATGATGAATTGATACAATTTCTTCTTTTCCTTTATGTTCTATTAAATCTTTTATTCCGATCTTATCTTGAATTAATGATTTACTATAAATAAACCTAACAACCTCTCTCATATCTCCATTCTTAATAAACTTACTTGCTATCATTTCAATAACTTTATCACTTTCAAATAAATTTTTATTAAACTTCTGTTTAATGATGTTTTTAATCTGATCCTTACTATATGGTTTAAATCTTAATATTGAATTACATTGTGATAATTTTAGATTATTACTTATTGTTATTAACTTCTTTTTAGCTGCCTTTAATGTTAAAATTGTATTTAAACAAACTTTCTTCTTTTCTTGATAAAACTTATCAAATTCATCTATTACTATTATCATTGATCTTGTATTTTTTATTTCTTTAATTATACTTGTTGTTTGATAATAATTTATATAGCAATGATCTTTATTATTCAATACATAATTAACACACATTGTTTTACCTGTTCCTGGATTACCTATAATATGGAGTATATTTTCCTTATTTTTCTTATCAATAAACTTCTTTAAATTACTTATTTCTTCTTTTCTACACTCAATTTGTATTTCTTCTATTTCATCACTTTTTTTCATTCAAATATTCGTTTATTGAAATGCTTTTCTAATAAAATATTTATTAAATTATTTTATTAAAATGATTATTAAAAAGTATTAAGATGATTATAAGTACTACTAAATCAAATAAAAATTTTTTAATAAGTATTAAAATTAACTTATTTATGGTTGTTTTCATTCTGAAACTAATGTTTAATTTTTGAAACGTTTTATTTAAAAGAGTTTATGAATATAAAACTATGGATCATTTCATACAGAATAATATAAATGCAAATATAAATAAAATCAGTAAAAATTTTTGGGAATTTCAAAGAAATAAAGCCAATAATGTTACTTTACATAAAAATACTAATAAATTGCCATTAGCTCGTATTAAAAGGATGATGAAAATTGAAGAATCAATTAAAATGGTTAGTCAAGAAGTTCCTTATATTTTTGGAATTGCAGCTCAGGTTTTTATTGAGGAAATTACTATTAGAGCCTGGATTTACACCAAGGAATCCAATAGAAAGATTATAACTGCTGATGATGTTATTAAAGCACTTAAAAATACTAGTAAATATGATTTTCTGTATTTTTTGTTAATTGAGGATAACCAAAAACTATAAATTTTGTGTATTTATTTTCTTTTTATTTCATAAATAGTTCTTCATAGTGTAGTGGTTATCATACTAGCTTGTCACGCTAGTGACCTGGGTTCGATTCCCAGTGAGGAAGTTTTTA